AGTGGTGGCGCAATGGATGCTAGCGCTGGGCAAGGGCAAGTTACGCAAAGCAATTGGAGCAAAGATGAAATGGTTCGTTGCTATGGCAGCGAAAGAAGAGGAAAGGTAGGGGCAGTATGTAGCAGTGACATGATTGCGATGTTCAAAAAGGTAAAAAAAAAATCGGTAAAAATTAAAACAAAACAAAAAAAAAAAATTGTTGTAAAAGTAAGTAAAAGAAAAATTAAAAAAAAGATGAATGAATAGAAACTACAAACAAGTAGAATAATAACTAGAGAAAAAACTTGTGAAAATAAGAATTGCTGAAGTGAAAAGTTTCTGTTTTTTTCACGAATAAGTTGTTGAGATAAAAACAAATTTCATGAAAATAATTCAACTGTGTGTAATTGAGGTGTGGCATAAATTGACCATAATTTAAATTTTGGAAACAGGAAAACTTTAGATACGCTGTTGTTGATAAATTCATCTTGTACGTGGTAGTAAGTAGGTGGAAGTTTAATGAGAGCAAAGTATGGAGCATTTGAAGTACGTAAATGCTGTCAGATGAATTTGAATTGACTGATGTTGCCATGTATGTATTGGGCATTAGGCCTCCAATTTGCGTTGACTAAAACGTGCAGCTAATTACATTTTGTAAGTGAGTAGCAAGCGGTTGACATTCGAAGAGTTCGAAGAGGATGCACTGACAGTTCGTTGTCGCCATAAATTATCTACGTGCTACTTCTATTTACCTAACATAGACCAATCTACCTTGCGGAGAAAAATTTAATCTTAAAGGAAAAACTGAATATGTATGACCAGACATCTCTGCTGATAAATGGCCGTGAGCAATGGCCCGCCATAAAAATGACCGTCCTGATTTGACAGTGATTTAAGTGCTTCATTTTTCAGAGCCTTTTTTGTTGGGCAGAAGTAGCAGGAAAAATACAAAGAGTCATACATACATTTAACGAACATCGCAGATGAAGTGTAAATTTCTGAAAAAGCCTGTACTTAAATAGCATATTTATTGTTGCTGTCAGCTACATTTTTGTAAGCGACATGACACATGAGCTAATGTCCTAACCATTATTGAATGACAGGGTTGGAGGTCATTGTTGTTGTTGTTGTCGTTTTTCCCCCTTAGTTTAAGTGGCATTCATACAAAAAGGACAAGAGAGAATTTTATAAAATTAAAAAAAAACTTTAAATAAAATAGATGACATATAATGAATTATGGACATTAAAATATCAAGGTTAGGTGAGGTTGCAATGGTTGGAGTGTATGCATAAGTACTAGGTCCTATATAGATAAAAAAAAACTGTGGAATCTAGGAAGCTCACTTGTGCACAAACCACTTTGTTGACGCTTATAAACTACATATATCATAACTCTTATCTTCAACTTTGAAATCTCTTCAAGGTAGTGAAGAAGGGGCTGGTCAAGCGTGCGTAACTTTCTTCTACTTGAAGCCGGGCAAAGGCATAAAAGGTGTTGGACATTTTCTTTATCTTGTTCATCCCTGCAACTATGGTCCGGTCTGTTATCTCACAACTTAGAAATATAAGTTTTTAACTTTTTTGTTTAAATTTAAGCGAAATAATTTGAGTTTCCAGTTATAGGAAGGCTAGGAAAACCGCTGGTTTAGACTGTCGTAATGTTTTTTTTTGTTTGCTTATTTGTAAAATTTTGCAATTAACCTCAACGGCCCGGTGTCCAGGGTATCCACGCACTCGTATTAGTTGAATTCAATTGAGAAAACTCCACTTAAGTCCCCATTTGCAATCGCATTGTGACCGTTGATGAAACCTGAATTCGTCAGTATTGATGCGGTGTTCAAGCATGAAGCAGGTAAGGAAGGGGAGAAATGTCAAAAAAATCTGGGATAGCGAGGAACTATCGTTAACTCATTACTTGTCTGAAGGCATTTCGAATACAGCCAGTTCTGGGCTAATTTACCTAGCCAGTTGCAGGGGGCAGTCGGACAGCATGGACGTGGTAAGTTGGCGCACGGAGTTCAGTTTCTGTTAGCTTAGACCCGACTGCCAGTAACTTTCATTTTGATAAGGAAGTTATGGAAACGAAAATAGTATTAAAGGAAAATAGTGAATGGAGGGAGGTTGCGAACTTATTCCGAAGCACTACTGCGACCTCTTCCGTAAATGCATTTTTTTAATCTTTTACGAAATACACATCAAAAAATTGCAAAACGCACGAAAAAATCGATATACCTACATACATACTCACGAAACAAGGGACCAAATATAGTAAAGTTTTTTTTTTTGTTTTTTTCACTGAAGCTAGGATTTTTTGAAAGGACTTTGAAATTTCAAAAATATGATTACTTCAAAAAATTATTTTAAAAATTTTGTGCAATGCGGAAAAGCAATATGAGTATCAAACAAAAGGGAAAATTTTCTGGAATTTAAAACAATACAAGGACGAATTCGCATAGAAAATGTCCATTTAATTGATTTTTTATACGAAACTAATAAAGTTAGAAAGACGAAAATCGTGCGTGCGGTAGTCCTTAGCATATATACATACATACATACATATGCATGTATTTTTTGAAAATAACTTTTGGAAATTTTCAAGGATATTCAAGTATAAATTTTTAAAAGGAAATATGCTATAAATATCTATTCGTTCTTGTGAATCAACAAATTCAATTATTCTCAATTCTAGACAATATTCTCTTTTATTAGATAGCCATATTGTTATTCAACATTTCACTGAATTTTTTAAATATATTTTTTTTTTAATTAGACATATCTTTGAACTTTCAAATTCCTTAAAAAAACCTGACGTCAGATTGGTCCTAAGTTTTGCGATTATATTGATTTTTTTTTTGTGAGTAAAACTGACTGTCGCACGGTGATATAGTTTGGCAAAAATAATTTGAAATAAGTATGGATCGAAATTTCGGGAATTCAAAAAACAAGGTCAAATCATGAAATATTTTGTATGAAAAATGTCCAGCACTGTAAAACAAGTAGAACGAGAAACAATGAACTTAGAAGAAATTTTGGCGGCCCAACAAGGCTATTTTATTGATTTTTTCCACGCCGCTAATTTCTAAGAAACAAATTTTCAAGTCCTTTCTGTCAGTTATACGGCTCTATTCTGTATATGTTAGTGACAAATTCTTGTCACAGTTTTTTTTTTACGTAAAAATATATGAAAAAGTTTAAATTTGTCAGTAAAAAAATGTTTGTCACCGATACAGATTTAGGCTATTAATATGAAAATAGGATGTGTGTAAAATTTGGGCCAAATTGAAGGCCATTGCACAGAAAATCTGCACTTTTTTCACGTTTAATAGGCAGTAGTGTTTGAAACATATGTATGTATGCATGAGTGTATGTACATACAGTGGTGTAGAAATAAATAAAGACACGACATTTTAACAAATTTTTCCTATTTTTGCCTTTATTTATTTTATATTTGTTATTTTTTACAAAAGTATAGCTCATTATCTAACAATTAAATTCATATTCCAAACTTTGTGCAAAAATTATAAAAATTCTGCAAAATTGCGACGCGATTTTTTAGGAGCTTCAGCCTTGCACTTTATTCTACTTAAATTTAATGGGCTATAGAACTGCATACTTCAAAAAATTGTATGAAAAAGTTGAAAATTTAAAAGCAATATTGCTGAATTTTTATAATTTTTGCACAAAGTTTGAAATATGAATTTATATGGTTTTTGTTAGATAATGAGCTATACTTTTATAAAAAAAAAATAATTATATTCAACAATTTTATAATGAGCTCGAGGCCATTTTTTAAATGAAAATTTATTGTGGAAAAGCAACAATAATTTGAAAAAATGGTAGAAGTGATAGCTATTTCGGAAATCACCACATTTCCTCATCAGACTTCTTTCAGTAGGATTCGAACCGACGATCCCACTGACTCAGCCAGTTGCCTATGCACCGTGCTAAGACGCCTTGTAAATTATCGTTTGCTTATTTCCACTATTTTTCATTTTTGTTGGCCTCGAGCTCATTATAAAATTGTTGAATATAATTATTAAAAAGGCCAAAAAAAATAACAAAAAAAAAAATAAAATTAAATAATATTAAATAAACAAAAGAAAAATAGGAAAAATTTGTTAAAATGTCGCGTCCCTATTTATTTTTCCACCACTGCACGTATATTTGTATGCATTGATGTTTGAAAGTCACTTCGATAACAAAAGGATACCCCCAACTTTTTCCTCAGCAACGCACCCGACTCGAGCAACGTCCAACCATCACTTGGTATTGATTGTGATTGATTGCGGTGTGCGTTGGTGACAGTAAATAGCACCAAAGGGATGACATGAGTGCAGCAACAAACGAAAAAAAAAAGAAAAGAAAAAATCAACACCCACAACAAAAGTAATTGCCACACAATTCATAAGCAAATAAATCACAAGCACAAAAAAAACAAGAATCTAACTTTTAGCTATGTACATACAAGCGCCTCAGGCTCGCTAACTCACAATTCGATGGCAGCAGCAAAATTAATGTGTGCAAATATTCGTAATTTTGTGTGCTTGATGAGGACCTTCCAAAGCTTTTCAATGCAAGCGCTTACGTAAAAGCTGAAAGTGTTAAAGGGTTACATTTTTCCAAGCCCAAGGGGTGGCATAAAACGCCGAAAAATTAGCAAAAATAAAAAAGTAAAAAATACGCGTACACGGAAATCACTTCGGGTCTTCCTTTAGATATTCGTTATGCCTTATCAATGCAAACACAACCATTTTCTTCCCTTTACCTAAAAAATGGTTGACAGTCTTTTGGGTAGCATTAGCGAAAAATAAATAGAAATAAATCGGTTGTAGCTTCAAAAGATTATGGGCAAACAAAACGAATTTGCCGGTTATTATGTATTTTCAAAATCGTCGCAAAGGGTAAACATATTCACTTTATGCTTTTATGTTGTTGGTAAATTTATAATTTACGTAAATTAATATTTAAAACTGTCTACAATTGAATAAAAACGTTTTTTGTTATTTTGTTGCTTGACTTACTTGCTGAAGCCCTTGTAGACTGTGGCATATGAACCCTCACCGAGCGGTTCCAGTTTTATGTAGGCATCAGATTTTCCAAATGGCGAGTCACCCTGTAAGTAAAAAGATCAAGGTTAAAACGTTAATAGAAAATACGCATACATAGCTCCCTGTTATGATCGCCAGCGCCTAAAATTATGTTAAAAAATATATATTACGCGATCGTTAGCACAAGCGTTTGTACGAATATGCATGCATATGTACATACATCCACACAAATGCATCGAACTGCGTATGTACATCAATCATTCGAAAAGCTGAAAATTTGTCTGTTAAAATTAATTAATTACCATGTATTTTAATTAATTTCAAGCGTACCCAAAAATTATAATTAGCTCCTCTCAATTATCATTTAATTACTTAATTTAAAATTAAATTAACGAATTAAAATTAATATGCCCACATTTTATTTTTACTTAAATTTAAAAATCAAGTACTTTTTTAAATACTTTGCCCTGAACTCAAAAATTTCTAATTAAGTACGCATTAAAAAATGTGTACCTATCAACCAACAAAACGTCGTTTACTATATATTCAATCCTTTTGTATATTATATCGAACCTTCGACATGGTAAATGTATTCAATATCGGGACACTCAGTACGCCATAAACGCAAGGGTCCCATCAAGATAAATTCCAAAGAGATCAAAAATTTTTGCCTTAACAAAATCTTAACTATTACCGTTCACATTAAACTCTTTGTAGGCCAAACTATAAAATGCAGTTGAGAATTGAAAACGTGTTAAGTTGGAAGCAATCGCATGTCAAAGAAATTTTTCCATGCTATGAAGTGAAGAATGAATATTATTTTAGTAGCAGCTCACTTATTTAGTGGTGGTTGAATGTGTGAGGAAGTCAGCAAAAAGCAGCAGGCAAACAAAGTGGCACAGAGTGACGCATTGTATTAAATTTTGTTGCCAATGACGACAGGGTGGTACATATGAAAACATATTTTGCCAGGGTAGTCAGTTATAGGGGTGCGTGTGTGCAAATCGCATTGAACAGACGAACGAAATCAAGCTGCATGTAATATATGTACCTATGTATATCGTTACCTTAACTCATGGAGCTGGAAAACTATCGATGACACTATTGATAGTATCGATGGTTTTTGACTATGGAAAATATCGATGGTTTTGTAAGCACAATCGATAGTTTTCACTCAAATGTCTATTCTGCACGTTACCGAAGATTTTGTAACCGGAAAATTTTATTACCAAAAAATGTTACCCAGTTCTTCTCACCGCGATTCTAGGAACGTTGGTAATGCAGTTAAAATATTCAGCAATTCAGCTATGAAGAATTGTGCAAATTCTGGCATTGCGTATTTCACGGGGCAATACTTTGTTACCAGCTTATGAGATGGTAACAAAATTTACCGGTTACAAGAATACACAGAATGCGAAAAGGGTTTAAAAATTGACAGGAACTTTATTTACCGGTTACAAACTTTTTATTACCAGCGCAGAATAGACGTGTCAATCATATTCATATTATTCAGTAAGAGCAAAAGCCTGCTTCATCTTGTAAATCGGAAGGGACATTTAACAAAGCAGGGCAAATAATTTCAGAGCGCAGATGCTGCTTGAAGCTGAAAATCTTTGATAAACTTTTGTACCTAAACAAAAATATGGCCATATTTTAGCAATTCTGATCTCATTTTCAATAATAGTTGCTATGTTTAATTTTTGGAATAATTTGGAATAGTACTATCGATAGTGTCGACATTTTCAATAGTATCGATACTATCGATGGTTGTGACTATCGACTATCGAGACTGTCGACGGCCACGCCCATCGATAGTTTTCCAGCTCTATTAACTCATAAAGATCCTAACCAGGGTTGCCACTTTGGTAAATTATTAACAAAATTGGTAGAAAAAATTTGCGTTGGTAAAAAGGTAAATTTTTTCTCACTTCGGTAGATTTTCGTTAAAGAATTTTGTTTGAAAAACAAATTAAATTTTAATTGCCGCTTTATTTTTCCTAGTTATCTTTATATCATAAATTTATTTCCAAAAGTCTAGTCTTCTTTATTGTATTAATTTTCAACCGCTTTAGTGTATACATTTTATATACGATTCTGAAGCAATTTCAAATTTGGACCAAAAAACTAGCAGCTATAAAGCTGCAAAAAGTTTTGGCGCAGCAAATTTTTCGCAATATATGCAACAATTTTTATTTTAATTTTTTCGCCGCCAAGTTTTTATTCAAATATGTTTCGTTCTGCAATAAGAAAAATCAAAATATAATTCCTAAACTTTGTGCAAAACACACGAAAATTCAGCAAATTTTCAACTTTCAAATCAGATTTTATTTAGAATTTTATTGAGTATGCAAATTTGTAGCTCAATCAATTTTATTCTAATAAAGTACAAGTTTTAAGTAGCTAGGAATTACCGTTGATTTTTGGCAAATTTTTTTTTCACGCAGCCTCTTCAATACAAAAAAAAAAAATCGAAAATACTTTATGTGGAAAATATGCAAAACACCTTCAACAAAAAAAAAAAAATAAATCTCAAAAATCAATGCGATTTTTGACTAACTTCAAACTTATATTTTTTTGCTAGAATTTAATGGGCTCCAAAACTGCATACTCAAAAAAATTCTGAAAAATCTTGAATTTTCGCGAGTTTTGCATAAGCTTAGGAATTATATTTTTGTGTTTTTTTGTTGTAGAATATTTTTATAAAAAATTGGCGGAAAAATATTAAAATAAAATTTGTTGCATAAATTGTGAAAAATTTGCTGTGCCAATACTTTTTGCCGGCAGTGTAAGTTAATAAGTTCAATTAAATATTTTTTACAATACAAGTGTCAAACGAAAAAAGGTTTAAGAGAGCTTAATTTCATAAACATTTTTGAAGAGGTTTTTCACCCGTTTAAAAATAAAGTTTTGTACGCAGATATGTAGTTTATACCTGGACTGAAAAATAGGCAAAATATTACTTACTAAAAACTCTAAGACGCATTGCTATCAAAGTGGATTCTCAAATCTGTCCCCGCGAATACCTTCGTTTAAGGTACTAAATGGGGCCACTATAAACAACTCAAACAGTTATAAAAAGTGTACTGGCCCTAAAAGGCTACCTTTTGAGGTTTCCGAGTCATGCGAGTCTTGATGGTAACGAAAGTGATTTTGAAAGTAAATACAAATCTCAAAAACAAACAAACAATAAAAATTAATATATATGTATTTCCTTTTTTATACAACTTATCTAACCACTACTACATATTAAAGCGCCCCATTACAACACCATTATTTTCGCACATTTCATTTCTTTCTAAGTACTAGCTGTTTCCTATTACATGCTTCCCTTTTTACAAAAATGCATTACATACAATAAAAAAAATGTATAAAAGCAGTTGCTGGTAAATACTTACACCAAAAGCACTAAATCGTTTCCGTCGCGGATGCGTTTCTTGTTTGTTGAGGAAAACCTCCGATTTAGGTCTGGGCGGCTTTTTCGGACGCATAATAACGCGCGTCTCCTCTCGAATGTCATCGTCCAGCAGTTTGCTATCGGATGAAACGGACAATTGCCGCTGGACGCGATCATGGTGGTCGGTGCTGTCGGTGCTACGCCAGTCTGTAAAATATATAAAGAAGAAAAAGGATAAAGAGATTAGTAAGGAAGCGAAGGAAGGTGAAGTGAAGAAAATAAAGAGAAAAATTGCATTTGCTGTCACACACACAGCTGCAGAGATGTATGTACAATAAGGCTGGACAAGGGCATTCTTAAGGTATGTACTACCTGCAAGGATGGTTATGAAGAATTCAAAAAAAAAAAAAAGTGATAGAAACGCTCTTCCCTTTTTTTATGTGAATAGAAGTGGAAAATAATCGAAAGACTTTAAACAGCTATGGCTGCACCCTTTGTTAATTTATCTTTCATTTTTCCCCAGCCGAACCCTCAACATTTAAAATTTAAATGCTGAATTTTATTAATTGAAATAAACCGCTAAATGCAATTTACACACACACACACACACACATTTATATACATACAGTGACTCAAACAAATAACGACCACGGTTGATTTTTTTCAATATTTGTGATGTGTTTTCGAGCTAAAATTTTTTATTTTTTATAAAAATACCGTTCAAGCTTTAATCAAAACCGTATAAATCACAGTTTCAAACTTTATACAAAATTTAGGAAAATTCAAAAAAATTTTAACAAAATTTCAACTTTTAGTCGGAATCTTTAGAACATTTTTGGATATGCAGTTTTATAGCCCATACAACTTTAGTGTAATGAAGTGCAAGTTTCAAACGGCTAAAAAATCCCTTGATTTTTGAGAATTTTTTTTGTTGGCGAATTATTGCACTTTTTTCCATATAAGCATGAATTCTTATGAAATAAAACGCGGGAGAACGTTAGCAACAAAATTTCAAAAAATCAACGCCAGTTTTTGTAAAGTGAAAAACCGCAAAAGCCGTCTCCAAAAAAAATAAAATAATAATCTCAAATATCAACGCGATTTTTAGTCGATTGAAAGATGCACTTCATTAGACTAAAATTGTATGAGCTATAAAACTGCATTCCCAAAAATGTTCAAAGATTCAGATTAGAAATATGAAATTTTGATGAAAATTGCTTGAATTTTCCTTAAAAAAATTTTTGGTTAACGCTTGAACGGTATTTTTTTATAGAAAAATAACAACAAGAAAATTTGCTAGAAAAACATTACGAATAAAACCAAAAAAAAAAAAAACAACATGTGGACATTTGTCTGAGTCACTGTACATGCACCACCACAAATTAAAGCTGCAGGCTATATACTATAACCCACTTTCGAGGCAATCGCTGAACTGTTGTGGTATGGCTGCCACACAATTTAAGTGCAACTACAGCAAATAACGGCAGCTTAAGGGAATTGCGACTACGGAAAAATGGCGGCGAACTATGCGTTTCCGTTTAAATGGGCGGCAGCAAAAATGGAAATCATCATTTCCATTTCCAGTGTCCGGAAGTACAATGGATGATAGCGATTGCCTAGTGCCACATGCTTGACTTCATTTCGGCACAGCTGAAGTATGTACATATAAATGAACTGATGGCATAAAAATGCAATTCAACTACATAAATACATATAAAAATCACTGCACGCATATACATATACTTACATACATATGGAGGTACAAATGCCTGCACATGCAGCCATATAGGGCGTGGAATTTTGTTTAAAAAATGCATAGTTAAATTCAAGTACATAGATGTATTTTTTATTGCGCTATTATTTCATGCAATCTAAATTGCTATAGCAAGTGCTTGCGTCAGTTGTGTTCATGCATATACATAACTTTAACAAGCGCACCTAAGGACGCACATGCAATACATACAAACATGCATACATATGCATATAAAAGCCCCACTAATTGTATGTGTTCAAGTTGCCATAACGAAGGGCGCAGCGCACCAAAAAGGATGTCAGCGAAAGTAGCCAAACAAATGTTATGCCGCCACACCGACACCGCCACCAACGCCACCAGCGCCAGCGCCACCAACGACAACCTTTTTTATTTGCCACAATTTACACAGTAAATAAAAAAGGTTACAAGTAAAAAACGAAAATTACGGAGTGGAAATAATGTCGCCACCACTGGGAGCATTGAATTGGAGCACAGCTGTGCAAAAGTTGGTCTAGGACATTACAAAGATTCGTGTCGCATTCATATGCATATGTAAATATGTACTAGGTATGCACAAACATATCCGATAGCAAATTTGCACCCACCCGTACATATTTGAATAAAGCTGCAGCGACAACACTAGGCCACACCTAACGAACACACCTCAGAACGCACGCGGAATGGATGAGCAAAAAGGCGGATGCGTGCAAGTTCATAA